CTGAAGCCGCCAGGTGGGCTGGAGAGCACAAGGGAACGAGTCTTTGCGGAGTTCCCGCGCTGCTGCAGCTTTCTCCTCTGGGTGCGAGGGCCTCAGCGTGTGTCCCCCTGTGGCAACGGCCACGGTAAGGTCCGGCCCCGTCGCCTCCCGCCCGAGGCGGCCGCACCGCGCCCGGGGCTGCGAAGGACTCGGTACGGTCGCTCGTTGGAAAGCTGAAAGCTTGCCGACCGTGCACCCAGGCCCTGTATAAGCGACTTTTAAATGCTTGTTACAGCTCCTTACTGGGTTTTCAGGTCAGGGGAGTTGAAACTGCTTTCCTGGTGGGATGAGGACTGGTGGGAGTTAGCTGTGTGACTGCTCCTGCCTCCTACAGGGCCAAAATCTTCTACTTATGAATGAGTAAGGATTTTTATTTTTCTTAACACGTTCTAGTGCCTCAGAAATATTTTTGTATATTCATGGAAGGTCAAGACTAACAGAAGGACCCAGTCAACCTCTTGCTTAAAACAGCCTAAGTTGGCAAGCTTTGTTTGGGGTTCAGGTGGCTGTCTACAAATATGCCTGCCTTCATCTTCCTTGTTTGTGTGTGGCTGGTTGAGTGAAATAACAAATATTCTTTCTGCTCGGAAGACTGACAGGAGTTACTCAGGGTTATGTTAAGGTGAATGTGTTGCTGGTGAAAGTTAATTCTAGTTTGTTGTAGGTATCAGGTCAGGTTGTGTATAAACTTTGTTTTTTTGTTTGAGATAAGCAGTTATGTTACAAGATCTGGAAAAGATATGGCATCATTGAAAAACACTTAAAACAGCGTTTAAAACTATCCCAGGAGCAGAAAATATTCCAATTCTGAACTGACTTTAGGCAAGTAAGGAGAGTTGCTTACTATAGAGAGCTTCTGTTTAGGGCATGCTTGAGGCCCAAGGCTCTTTATTTTTTTAATAAATGTTCCATTATCTGTTATTTTATCAAAAGTGAATACCAGTTTCTTATAAAGGCTGAGAAATGGCTGAAGGAGGTATTTTGCAGACCTATAATGGATGCTATGTCTTTCAAATGGGTTAAAGGTGCTTAAGTATTTGTTTTCCTAAAATTGTTGGGGTGTTATTTCTACTTCAGTCCAAAACTTTCAAGCTATTTTGTGATGATTACTATGAATTGGTTGAAAGGCTTAAAATTTTCTTAAGGAGTGAACTGACATTTTCTGTAAGGTGAGGTTTTTAGGAAGGCAAACCTCTTAGCTGTATTTGATCTTCTGACTCCTCAAAGAAAATATATGTTGATATGTGACTAATAAACGAGATGATATGCAGCCTTAAAGTTTTTTCACCATTAAATATACAGATATTGAAGACTTCTGCATCTTGCAGTTGGGAAGAAGTTCTCTGAATCTCAGAAGGGCTTGAAAGAGTTCAAATCCAGGTGGGCTTTATGGTTTCTGGAGATTCTCTCAGGAAGTCCAAGATTTCAGTATAGCCTAGGCGATAAATATGCTGAGAAGAATGCTTTTTTTCAGTGAAGTCTGTCAGCTTCTCTGTTGTTCAGAAATCTTTGTAAAAGGAAGGCTGCATGACTTATTTAGCCTTTAGGCAGCATTCCTGGCACCATTTCTAGCTAGCTCTACTGTTAGTCTACAACTGGATGCACAAGTCAAAGAAGTCCTCCTCTGTCTTCTAAGACAGAGCGTTTTTCTGTCTGTACGTTTTCTGCTTATGAACGTGTTTGTTTTGCACTTGCTGTAAGCATTATTTCTAAAGTGCTTTATGCCTTTCTTTAAAAATGGAGGGAGGATGACTTGCACTTTAAGTGGTGGCAAATTACAAACAGCCAATACCTGTTCCAGGCAGTGTTTTACCCTCCCCTATAGCACAGCGTTTTCTTTATAATAGTCATAAACGTTAGAGCTTGTCGCATCTGGCAGGAGTAGAGGACAAGTTGAGTTTAAAGCCTTTTGGGGTAATATTAGCATAATATTTGTAAGAAAAAAAAAAGGCATGTATCTACTCACATGAGGCAGTTTAGCTGACAGATGTGATAGATAACACTTTAATTGTTCAGAACAGGGTACTTTTGTTAGCCAGGGGTATGTCTAATATAGTTGCACCCAACAACGAACTATGATCTGGTGTACATAAATTCTGGTCCCTTCTACCCGAAATGAACAGCATCGTGGATTTGCTGTCAGAGGTATGTCTTTGCATTATAGCTATGAGAAACTGCAGTTGTTTTCATTATCTTTATGTCTTGGAGTAATGCTGTGGAATTACTTTCATCTTAAAGCAGACTGTGTGGAAAATAAAGATTAGCTATAAGAGATTTTTGTTCAGCAAAAGTTGTTCATATGTGTGGGGTTTTTTTTACTGTTTAGAAACATTGGCTAAATACTGGCAAGAGCATTATGTGTGTGCTTGCCAAGCGTGAGACTCGCCAAAGCAACAGTTAGCCTGAGTTGTTCTAAATACAGTGATCTAAACTCGATTTTAAAAGCACTTTTCACATCCTCCCCTTTTCTGTGTTAATGGCTGTCATTACCAGTATTCATTGGACTATTGTCGCAAAAGGAGAGGAAGATGAGGGAGCAGCTTTCCTGGGAAGCCTCTGCAGTTGTGTTCCTTCATTTGAAGGAGTGTGAGTGTAAAACAGAGGGACTGTTTCGTGAATCAATGAGCTTTATCATCTTATTTACTCAGGATATGCATCAAAAGCTGTATTCATCCTACTTTCTCCCATTGTACTTCTCACTGATTTATTACGGGTTTGTTTCATTTTCCCTATGACTTACCTTTGGAAGTTAATTAAAGTTGGTGTTATTAGAAGAATCTTTGTGCTTCAGAAGGCTGGAATGAATGACAAGAAAGGCAAGACCAGAAAGAAGTGTGGTTAGGGATGCAGAGATATTTAAGAAAAATGTGTTTTGCATAGTAAGTGCTTGGATTTCTAGAAGGCTCAGTGAAGTTGACATAAGGAAACTTGAGGGAGTCCTTGGGTGTGAAGGTGGAATGACCAAAGAGTGTGTCTATCTTGCCCCCCTAAAGCACCATTCACTTGCATTGAACCTAACTTAGGTTTCCACTTGCTGTCTATTTGTCTTTCTTCCTCAGACTTTTGCTAACAATTGGTAGAGTGAATGCATCTAAAAATCACTGTTTTGACCCTCATTATAATGACCTTGATTTGTATTTCTATTAGACAAGAAAAAGTAATTTGTTCAAAAATGAGGGTGGAAGCATCAATCCCAGATCTCATGCCACAGCCCTTCTGAAAGAAAATGAATTGGCTTTCTGTGCTACAAACTTGTAACTATAAATCAATCTGTTGCTACTCTGTGAGATTCCTGTATAATTGCCCATGAATGCAAACTGAAGTGCTTCAAGTATTCACAGATGCAGAACATCAGAAATAAAGATTAAAGTAAATCAGATCTCATGAATATGCATATTTTTGTTGCCAGTAAATAATGTGAGTTATCTAAATTAAAATTCAAAATTATATATTGCAAAGGAAGCATCGTCTTTTTTTTTTAAGAGTTGGAAAACATTCGCAGTAGTCTTCCTGTCATTACTATGCACATAATAATCATGTGAAGCAAATGATACTTCTTTTTATGCTGCTTGTTTTAAATAGCTTTTATGTCTTAAATTGCTGTTAAAAATAGACCAAGAACTCTAAAAAGCACAGTGGGCCATGGAGCTGGTTGGAAGCCACTGACAGCAGCCAAAGCCACTGGCTTATTTTGTGTTCTTGCAACAAGGATTCTGGACTGAAGCGATACTAAGGAAAAACAATCCATGTCAATTAAATGTAATGTACAGGTTTTGATTTAAAAACATTCCTAGGGCTTAGACACTTAGCAAGTGGAAGCCCAAAACACCTTCATCAGTGTATGTTGTTAACATCCCTGGTGTAGAGTCTAGGCT